TCAAGTGATGACAACATACAAAATATTGATTAAAAAGTTTCTCTGTAACATTGACCAAAATCTGGAGAAAATTTGGTTTCATTTAAGGAGAAGAGAAAAATGAGTTCTTTTCTTCCAGGTGGCAATGATTTTTAGAGATATTCAAGTCTACTGAGAAATATGCTTTTGCATAGATAAAACCATTTTTGTCAAATGATATTGTAAAAAAATATCAGGTAAAAAAAAAAATGAGTTCTTTTCTTTCAGGTGGCAATGATTTTTAGAGATATTCAAGTCTACTGAGAAATATGCTTTTGCATAGATAAAACCATTTTTGTCAAATGATATTGTAAAAAAATATCACGTAAAAAAACAGGCAGATAGAGAGGATTTTCTTGAACAATGAAAACATTGAATACACATTTCATAAGTAATGGGGTGCATTCCTTACCTGGAGACCCAGTTCCATGAGATGTTTGGCTTGTATCTTGGTCAGGAGTTGCATCTTGAGCAATGAAAACATTGAATACACATTTCATAAGTAATGGGGTGCATTCCTTACCTGGAGACCCAGTTCCAAGAGATGTTTGGCTTGTATCTTGGTCAGGAGTTGCTGTTGATCCTGCAATTTTCATATATTAACAATCAAGTGATGACAACATACAAAATATAAATTGAATGTTTCTCTATGACATGGACTTAAATCAGGAGAAAATTTGGTTTCATTTAGGGAGAAGAGCAAAATGAGTTATTTTCTTCCAGGTGGCAATGATTTTTAGAGATATGCAACGGTAATGAAAAGTAAGCTCTGTGCATAGATAAAAAACTTCTGTGGAATGCTATTGGAACAAAATATAAAGAAAAAACTCATAGATGAAGAAGATTTCCTTGAGCAATGAAAAAATTGAATAAACTTTTCATGAGGAATGGAGTGCATTCCTTACCTGGAGACCCAGTTCCAAGAGATGTTTGGCTTGTATCTTGGTCAGGAGTTGCTGTTGATCCTGCAATTTTCATATATTCACAATCAAGTGATGACAACATACAAAAGATTGATTTAAAAGTTTCTCTGTAACATTGACCAAAATCTGGAGAAAATTTTGTTTCATTTAGAGAGAAGAGCAAAATGAGTTCTTTTCTTCCAGGTGGCAATGATTTTTAGAGATATTGAAGTCTACTGAAAAATATGCTTGTGCATAGATAAAACAATTTTTGTCAAATTTTATTGGAACAAACTATCAAGAAAAAAAACTTCTAGATGAAGAGGATTTTCTTGAGCGATGAAAACATTGAATAAACATTTCATAAGGAATGGGGTGCATTCCTTACCTGGAGACCCAGTTCCATGAGATGTTTGGCTTGTATCTTGGTTAGGAGTTGCTGTTGATCCTGCAATTTGCATATATTCATAATCAAGTGATGACAACATACAAAATATTGATTAAAAAGTTTCTCTGTAACATTGACCAAAATCTGGAGAAAATTTGGTTTCATTTAAGGAGAAGAGAAAAATGAGTTCTTTTCTTCCAGGTGGCAATGAGGATTTCCTTGAGCAATGAAAACATTGAATAAACTTTTCATGAGGAATCGGGTGAATTCCTAACCTGGAGACCCTGTTCCATGAGATGTTTGGCTTGTATCTTGGTTAGGAGTTGCTGTTGATCCTGCAATTTGCATATATTAACAATCAAGTGATGACAACATACAAAATATTGATTGAAAGTTTCTCTAATTCAAGGAATAAATTCTGGAGAAAATTTGGTTCCATTTATGGTGATGAGCAAAACAAGTTCATTTCTTTCAGGTGGCAATGATTTTGAGAGATTGAACTCTACTGAAAAATATGCTTGTGCATAGATAAAACCTTTTCTGTCAAATGATATTGGAACAAAATATCAGGAAAAAAACTGCAGATAGAGAGGATTTTCTTGAGCAATGAAAACATTGAATACACATTTCATAAGTAATGGGGTGCATTCCTTACCTGGAGACCCAGTTCCATGAGATGTTTGGCTTGTATCTTGGTCAGGAGTTGCTGTTGATCCTGCAATTTTCATATATTAACAATCAAGTGATGACAACATACAAAATATTGATTAAAAAGTTTCTCTGTAACATTGACCAAAATCTGGAGAAAATTTGGTTTCATTTAAGGAGAAGAGAAAAATGAGTTCTTTTCTTCCAGGTGGCAATGCATTTTAGAGATATTCAAGTCTACTGAAAAATCTGCTTGTGCATAGATAAAACCATTTTTGTCAAACGATATTGTAAAAAAATATCAGGTAAAAAAAACAGGCAGATAGAGAGGATTTTCTTGAGCAATGAAAACATTGAATACACATTCCATAAGTAATGGGGAGCATTCCTCACCTAGAGACCCAGTTCCATGAGATGTTTGGCTTGTATCTTGGTTAGGAGTTGCTGTTGATCCTGCAAGTTGCACATGTTCACAATCAGGTGATGACAACATACAAAATATTGATTGAAAGTTTCTCTAATTCATGGAATAAATTCTGGAGAAAATTTGGTTCCATTTAGGGTGATGAGCAAAATAAGTTCTTTTCTTTCAGGTGGCAATGATTTTTAGAGATATTGAACTCTACTGAAAAATATGCTTGTGCATAGATAAAACCATTTCTGTCAAATGATATTGGAACAAAATATCAGGAAAAAAACTGCAGATAAAGAGGATTTTCTTGAGCAATGAAAACATTGAATACACATTTCATAACAAATGGGGTGCATTCCTTACCTGGAGACCCAGTTCCAAGATATGTTTGGCTTGAACCTTGGTTAGGAGTTGCTGTTGATCCTGCAAGTTGCATATATTCATAATCAAGTGATGACAATGTACAAAATATTGATTCATAAGTTTCTCTGTAACATTGACCAAAATCTGGAGAAAATTTGGTTTCATTTGGAGAGAAGAGCACAATGAGTCCGTTTTTTTCAGGTGACAATGATTTTTCAAGATATGCAAGGCTAATGAAAAATGAGCTCTGTGCATATATAAATAACTTCTGTAGAATGCTATTGGATTAAAATATCAAGAAAAAAACTCATAGATGAAAAGGATTTCCTTGAGCAATGAAAACATTGAATAAACTTTTCATGAGGAATCGGGTGAATTCCTAACCTGGAGACCCTGTTCCATGAGATGTTTGGCTTGTATCTTTGTTAGAAGTTGCTGTTGATCCTGAGGATTTCCTTGAGCAATGAAAGCATTGAATAAACTTTTCATGAGGAATCGGGTGAATTCCTAACCTGGAGACCCTGTTCCATGAGATGTTTGGCTTGTATCTTTGTTAGAAGTTGCTGTTGATCCTGAAATTTGCATATATTCACAATCAAGTGATGACAACATACAAAAGATTGATTTAAAAGTTTCTCTGTAACATTGACCAAAATCTGGAGAAAATTTGGTTTCATTTAAGGAGAAGAGAAAAATGAGTTCTTTTCTTCCAGGTGGCAATGATTTTTAGAGATATTGAAGTCTATAGAAAAAAATGCTTTGTGCATAGATAAATCACTTCTGTGGATTGCTATTGGAACAAAATATCCAGATCAAAAAAACTTGTAGATGAAGAGGATTTTCTTGAGCAATGAAAAAATTGAATAAACTTTTCATGAGTAATCCGGTGCATTCCTTACCTGGAGATCCAGTTCCATGAGATGTTTGGCTTGTATCTTGGTTTGTACTTGCTGTTTCTCCTGAAAGATGGATATCTTGATAATTCAATGATTAGGGAAACAATTATATTATAGAAATCTGTGGGAACAATATTGATATTCTGGGGGAAATCCACTCTGGATTGAATGAAAAGAAAGAGGTCTTTTCTTATGGTTCAACCAGATTTGTTTGTGATGCAAGTTTACTAAAGGTTGTGTGCATGAGAAAACACTACTTCTGTCAACATGAAATAGGAAAAATCCTCAGGAGAAGAGAATTGGTAATGCTGAAGATTTTTTTTTATCACAAAAGACCATTAAAATATTTTGTTGGTGATGAACATAAGCATTGCTCACCTGGAGACCCTGTTCCATGAGATGTTTGGCTTGTCCCTTGGTTTGTACTAGCTGTTGCTCCTGCAATATGTTGAAATTCAGTTATGACTGACTGTATTTTAATTGAACTCTTGGCAATAGCATAAACTACAATCTGGAAAAAGTATAGCTTTGCATGAGGGAAAGAATAAAGATTTTTTTATCACGTTTGCAGAAATGTCACAATTGAGACACATTTCCTGCTATGAATACTTTGCAGATGAGGGGAACCATTTTTGTCAACTGAAGAAAATACAAATCTTCAGGAAGAGGGATGTATGAATGTTGAAAAGTAACTTGAGCAATGAAAGCAATGAACCTGCTCCATATGTGCAGGAGTGCATGCAACATTTCTCACCTGGAGACCCAGTTCCATGAGATGTTTGGCTTGTATCTTGGTCAGGAGTTGCTGTTGATCCTGCAATTTGCATATATTAACAATCAAGTGATGACAACATACAAAATATAAATTGAATGTTTCTCTATGACATGGACTTAAATCAGGAGAAAATTTGGTTTCATTTAGGGAGAAGAGCAAAATGAGGTATTTTTTCAGGTGGCAATGATTTTAGAGATATGCAATGGTAATGAAAAGTAAGCTCTGTGCATAGATTAAAAACTTCTGTGGAATGCTATTGGAACAAAATATAAAGAAAAAAACTCATAGATGAAGAGGATTTCCTTGAGTAATGAAAAAATTGAATAAACTTTTCATGAGGAATGTCATGAATTCCTGACTTGGAGACCCAGTATCATGAGATGTTTGGCTTGTATCTTGGTTTGTGCTTGCTCTTTCTCCTGAAAGATTGATATCTTGATAATTCAATGATTAGGAAAACAATTATATTATAAAAATCTGTGGGGACATTATTGATATTCTGGGGTAAATTCACTCTGGATTCAATGAAAAGATAAAGAAGAGGTGTTCTCTTATGGTTCAACCAGATTTGTTTGTGATGCAAGTTTACTAAGGGTTGTGTGCATAAGGAAAAACCACTTCTGTCAACATCAAATGGAAAAAATCCTAAGTGAAAAAGAATTGGTTATGCTGAAGATTTTTTTTTTAGCCCAGACGTCCATTTCAACATTTTTTTAGTGATGAACATAAGCATTGCTCACCTGGAGACCCAGTTCCACGAGATGTTTGGCGTGTATCTTGGTTAGGAGTTGCTGTTGATCCTGCAATTTGCATATATTACCAATCAAGTGATCACAAGATACAAAATATTGATTGAAAGTTTCTCTATGACATGAACTAAAATCTAGAGAAAATTTAGTTTCATTCAAGGAGAAGAGCACAATGCATTCTTTTATTTCAGGTGGCAGGGATTTTTAGAGATATGCAAGGGTACTGAAAAATTAGCTTTGTTTATAGATAAATCCATTCTGTGGAATGATATCGAAACAAAATATTGAGAAAAAAAACTTGTAGATGACAAGGATTTTCTTGAGCAAAGAAAACATTGAATGAACTCTCCATGAGGAATGGGGTGCATTCCTTACCTGGAGACCCAGTTCCACGAGATGTTTGGCTTGTATCTTTGTTAGGAGTCGCTTTTGATCCTGCAATTTGCATATATGAACAATCAAGTGATGACAACTTACAAAATATTGATTGAAAGTTCCTCTATGACATGGACAAAAATCTTGAGAAAATTTGGTTTCATTTAGGGAGAAGAGCACAATGAGTTCTTTTATTCATGGTGGCAATGATTTTCAGAGATATGCAAGGGTAGTGAAAAATAAGCTTTGTACATAGACAAATCACTTCTGTGGAATGATATTGGAACAAAATATCAAGAAAAAACTTGTAGATGAAAAGGATTTTCTTGAGCAATGAAAACATTGAATGAACTCTCCATGAGGAATGGGGTGCATTCCTTACCTGGAGACCCAGTTCCAAGAGATGTTTGGCTTGTATCTTGGTAAGGAGTTGCTGTTGATCCTGCAATTTGCATGTATTACCAATCAAGTGATCACAACATACAAAATATTGATAGAAAGTTTCTCTATGACATGAACTAAAATCTAGCAAAAATTTGGTTTCATTCAAGGAGAAGAGCACAATGCGTTCTTTTATTTCAGGTGGCAGGGATTTTTAGAGATATGCAAGGGTACTGAAAAATAAGCTTTGTGCATAGATGAAAACATTTCTGTCAAATGATATTGGACCAAAATATAAAAAAATAAAACTCGTGGATGACAAGGATTTTCTTGAGCAAAGAAAACATTGAATAAACTTTTCATGAGGTATGTTGGGCATTCCTTAACTGGAGACCCAGTTCCAAGAGATGTTTGGCTTGTATCTTTGTTAGGAGTTGCTTTTGATCCTGCAATTTGCATATATCAACAATCAAGTGATGACAACTTACAAAATATTGATTGAAAGTTCCTTTATGACATGGACAAAAATCTTGAGAAAATTTGGTTTCATTCAGGCAGAAGAGCACAATGAGTTCTTTTATTTATGGTGGCAATGATTTTCAGAGATATGCAAGGGTAATGAAAAATAAGCTATTTGTGCATAGATAAATCACTTCTGTGGAATGATATTGGAACAAAATATCAAGAAAAAAAACTTGTAGATGAAAAGGATTTTCTTGAGCAATGAAAACATTGAATACAAATTTCATAAGTAATGGGGTGCATTCCTTACCTGGAGACCCAGTTCCATGAGATGTTTGGCTTGTATCTTGGTTAGGAGTTGCTCTTGATCCTGCAATTTGCATATATTAACAATTTAGTGATGACAACATACAAAATATTGATTGAAAGTTTCTCTAATTCATGGACTAAAATCTGGAGAAAATTCGTTTCATTTAGGGAGAAGAGCAAAATGAGGTTTTTTCTTTCAGGTGGTAATGCTTTTTAGAGATATTGAAGTCTTCTGAAAAATATGCTTTGTGCATAGATAAATCACTTCTGAGGAATGCTATTGGAACAAAATATCAAGAAAAAAACTAATAGATGAAGACAATTTCCTCGAGCAATGAAAACATTGATTGAACTTTCCATGAGGAATGGGGTGCATTCCTTACCTGGAGATCCAGTTCCTTGAGAAGTTTGGCTGGTATCTTGGTTAGGAGTTGCTGTTGATCCTGCAATTTGCATATATTAATAAAGTGATGACAAAATACAAAATATTGATTAGAAGTTTCTCTGTAAAATTGACTAAAATCTGGAGAAAATTTTGTTTCATTTTGGGAGAAGAGTGAAATGAGTTCTTTTCTTTCAGGTGGCAATGATTTTTAGAGATATTGAAGTCTACTGAAAAATATGCTTTGTGCATAGATAAATCACTTCTGAGGAATGCTATTGGAACAAAATATCAAGAAAAAAACTCATAGATGAAGAAGATTTCCTTGAGCAATGAAAATATTGAATAAACTTTCCTTGAGGAATGGGGTGCATTCCTTACCTGGAGATCCAGTTACTTGAGATGTTTGGCTGGTATCTTCCTTAGGAGTTCCTGTTGATCCTGCAATTTGCATATATTCACAATCAAGCAATGACAAAATACAAAATATTGATTAGAAATTTCTCTTTAAAATTGACTAAAATCAGAAGAAAATTTGTTTCATTTAGGGAGAAGAGCACAATGCATTCTTTTATTTCAGGTGGCAGGGATTTTTAGAGATATGCAAATGTACTAAAAAAATTAGCTTTGTTTATAGATAAATCCATTCTGTGGAATGATATCGAAACAAAACATTGAGAAAAAAAACTTGTAGATGACAAGGATTTCCTTGAGCAAAGAAAACATTGAATAAACTTTCCATGAATGGTGTGCATTCCTTACCTGGAGATCCAGTTCCTTGAGATGTTTGGCTGGTATCTTGGTTAGGAGTTGCTGTTGATCCTGCAATTTGCATATATTCACAATCAAGCAATGACAAAATACAAAATATTGATTAGAAGTTTCTCTGTAAAATTGACTAAAATCTGGAGAAAATTTGGTTTCATTTAGGGAGAAGAGTGAAATGAGTTATTTTCTTTCAGGTGGCAATGATTTTTAGAGATATTGAAGTCTATAGAAAAAAATGCTTTGTGCATAGATAAATCACTTCTGTGGATTGCTATTGGAACAAAATATCAAGAAAAAAACTCATAGATGAAGAGGATTTCCTTAAGCAATGAAAACATTGAATAAACTTTCCGTGAGGAATGGGTTGCATTCCTTACCTGGAGATCCAGTTCCTTGAGATGTTTGGCTTGTATCTTGGTTAGGAGTTGCTGTTGATCCTGCAATTTTACATATATCCACAATCAAGCAATCACAAAATACAAAATATTTATTAGAAGTTTCTCTGTAAAATTGACTAAAATCTGGAGAAAATTTGGTTTCATTTAGGGAGAAGAGCAAAATGAGTTCTATTCTTTCAGGTGGCAATGATTTTTAGAGATATTCAAGTCTACTGAAAAATAAGCTTTATGCATAGATAAATCACTTCTGTTGAATGCTATTGGAAAAAAATATCAAGAAAAAACTCATAGATGAAGAGGATTTCCTTCAGCAATGAAAACATTGAATAAACTTTTCATGAGGAATGGCATGAATTCCTTACCTGGAGACCCAGTATCATGAGATGTTTGGCTTGTATCTTGGTTTGTACTTGCTGTTTCTGCTGAAAGATCAATATCTTGATAATTCAATGATTAGGGAAACAATTATATTATAGAAATCTGTGGGGACATTATTGATATTCTGGGGTAAATTCATTCTGGATTGAATGAAAAGAAAAAGAAGAGTTCTTTTCTTATGGTTCAACCAGATTTGTTTGTGATGCAAGTTCACTAAAGTTTGTGTGCATGAGAAAAAACCACTTCTGCCCACTTGAAATGGGAAAAGAGAATTGGTAATGCTGAAGATTTTTCTTTCTGCACAGAAGACCACTAAAACCTTTTGTTTGTGATGAACATAGGCATTGCTCACCTGGATACCCTGTTCCATGAGATGTTTGGCTTGTCCCTTGGTTTGTACTAGCTGTTGCTCCTGCAATATGTTGAAATTCAGTAATGACTGTCTCTATTTTAATTTAACTCTTGGCAATATCATAAACTACAATCTGGAAAAAGTATAGCTTTGTGTGAGGGAAACATTCCTGGGGAAATGCACTTTGGATTGAATCAAAAGAAAAAGAGTATGTCTTCTCTTATGGTTCAATGCAATTTTGTTTGTGATTCAAGTTTCTTACAGGTTGCATGCATGAGAAAAAAACCACTTCTGTCAACATGACAGGGGAAAAATCCTCAGGAAAAGAGTATTGATAATGCTGAAGATTTTTTTCAACACATAAGACCATCAAAACATTTTGTTAGTGATGAACATAAGCATTGCTCACCTGGAGACCCTGTTCCATGAGATGCCTGGCTTGTCCCTTGGTTTGTACTAGCTGTTGTTCCTGCAATATGTTAAAACTCAGTGATTCAGTACTGACCGTAGAGTAATTGAAATCTAGAAAAAGCATAAGCTACACTCAGGAGGAAATGTAGCTTTACCTAAGGGAAAGAAATAAGAGTTTTTTGTTCCAGTTTGCATAAATGTCATAGGTAAGACAAGTTTTGTTCTATGCATACTTTGCAGACAAGGGAAACCAGTTTTATCAAATTCAAAATGGAACAAATCTTCAGGAAGAGTGAGGTATCAATGTTGAAAATGTAATTGAGCAATCAAAACCATGAAACCGCTTCATATATGATGTAGCACATGCAACATCTTGAACCTGCTCTATATATATGATGTAGCACATGCAACACAGCTCACCTGGAGACCCTGTACCAGGAGATGCCTGGCTTGTATCTTCTTTGGGAGTTACTGTAGCTTTTGCAATATGCATATGTTGAAAATAAAGTGATGACATACACAATATTAATTGAAGACTGTAGAGAAAACAACTAGAGATGAAGAGGATTTTCTAGGCAATGAAAACCTTGTTGAATATACATTTCATAAATGAATTGGGGCATGGCTTACCTGGAGACCTTGTTCCATGGGAGGCTTGGCTTGTGTCTTGGTTTGTAACTGATGTTTCTCCTGAAAAATGGATATGTTAATATTTCAGTGATGAATGACTCACTTGGAAAATAAGAGTCTCCAAGAACATTAATGACATTCTGGGGGAGCTTACTTTGGACAGAGAGAAAAGAGAGGGAAGCAGTCTTTTCTTAGGGTCTAAAAATATTTTTTTGTAATGCAAGTTCCTTGCAATGGATGTTGTGTACATGAGAAAAAAACCACTCCTGTCAACTGGAAATTCAAAAAATCCTCAGGAAATGAGAATTGTCGATGCTGAAGATTTTTTTTCTCAGCAAAGAAGACCATGAACACATTTCATTAGTGATGAACACAAGCATCCCAGGAAAAGCAATTGATTATATTGTCATTGTGCCAGAAAGTGGCATGACATTAACATGCCCAACTTTGTATCAACTTTATGACATTTGGTAGCATGTATATAAGTGTCAAGAAATGGGGGAATACCATGCTGTTGTACTTACAGAAGACATGAAATTCACACAAGAGGAATGTATCCAAATTTGCACAAGAATTCACGTGTTCAAAAGTGACACAGGCTTGACATGTGAAAGTTGTGTGACTAAAACACATGTAAGTAGAGCCAAAAATTGGTGGTGTTTTCTATGCATCCAAAAAGGACACAATAGTTGAAGAAATCAGTAGACCAGCAAGACGCGGGAATTATATGTAAAAATTGAGTTCAAAAGCAGGCAATGTGTTGACAATAAAAAGTTGAGGATGAAGAAATTGTGAGTGGCACAAAGTTAAATGTGCTGCTTCACAGAAATGTATGGACTTCCTTGCTGCTGCTTGTCTTGGAGATACAGTGGGCCCCCGACTTACAACGGGCCCATGTTACGTTGGTTTCAACTTACGACGTTTTTTTAAATAATAAAAAACCCCCGACTTACGTTGGGGTTTCATGATACGACTTTTTTGTTGCTTGTGAAAATGACCCATGAGAGGAACTTAGTACCACTTCAGTGGGCTGATGTCAAACAAGAACCAGAACACCTTGCTGCACCCTCAATTACTGTCTCTGAGGACTGCACAAGGTGTTTCTAATATCTAGTTTCCAGACAATTTAATGTCCTGCTACCTAAGGTATTCTTGTTTCCCCAATATACCCAAAGTTTGATTCTCTTTGTACACCTGGACCACAAAAAAAGAACAGCTGGGTAACGCAAGTTATAGCAGTGACAAGCTTCTGTCAAAAAAAAAAAGAATCAGGGACAATGCCAAAGATATTTCTTGTGTATGCGGCAAAAAAATGCTAGAAGATTCAATTCATAATTGCAAAAAAATGTTCACCTGCACCAAAAGAAGTCAAGGCACTAAATTTGAAGTCTTTTCAAACAAAAATGTAAAAATGCTTGTTTTTAGAGCTAAGGTTGGATTGTTGGTCGCAGGCAGTCATGTGCTTGAGCACACGTCCCAGCATCTCCCAAGTTTTGGAACCAAAACTTCTAAAAATATTTTGTCAAAAAGGTCACACACAAATCCTGTCACAATAAATTTCCAGGAAATTTTGCGCAAAATTTGCAAAGATTGCACAAGACCAAGAAAAAAAGAAACATAGACTCCTCAAACTTCCACGGTTTCTGGAAATTCAACCTGGCCCTCTTGTTGGCTCTTTCTTTTGAGAGCCTGTCATTCCTGAGCTCATTTCTGGCTCAAAATTCTTTTCACTTCCACCCAAAATTATATGCATCGTGTCCTACCCCCTATCAATTTTGTTTTATACAGTCTTTCAAACATGTCTTGTGTCTATTAATGCAATTTCTGACAAAAAGTTGATATATAAAGGTAATTTTAGTTTAAAAATTTTTCTGGAATGAATTAATTTTTTTATAATGTAACCTTAAGGGAAATAGGGTTTCAACTTACAACAGCCCCATGTTATGACATCCATCCTGGAACGGATTGATGACGTAAGATGAGGGCCCACTGTATACATCACGTCAAACAAATATAATTTTTTTTTGTTTTCTAGGTATATAATTCAAGATATTTAAAAACATTTAAGTTTCATTGTTTGATTCTAAATTGGGTTGCAAATATCTTTGCAACATAATATTTGTGTTTCTCCATAAAATACTTATAATAACCACTGAAAGTGCCTGTTTGTCAATTGTATATTGTTAACTTTGAATGGTAATTCTGTCAAACTGATTTGACTTTGAATATATGTGCATATTATTTGTGCGCCAATTTGAAAATGCATGCAAATTTGCATATAGTAGCCAAGTTTTATGCTCCTGGACTTTTTCTGTGTACATGTTTTTTTACTGTTTTTCACTCTGGGTATCTGTTTATGTACTGCTTGCAAAATAGTTGCTGGGAAAATGTGCCCCCGTGCCCCCCCCCCCCCCCCCCAAATCTGATAAGTTGTTCCTGGAAGGATCAGGACTTTTTAAATTATATCCTTTGTCTCTTTTTTACTCACTTTACAATGAATTAAAATTAATTACATAGTGGCTTTATTATTCAAAGGTGCATTTTTAGCAGCCTGTTCCACACCAGGTCACTTCCCAGTGCTTGGACATCAATCACAATCCTAGTAAACATTGCACCAAATGTAAACCATACAAGAATGTTCTAATTAATACATGAATACAGATATTGATTAAATCAACAAAAACTAATTTCAATGCATAGAATGGGCAAGAGACATAAACACAAATATTATTCTAATGTTTTGCACATTTCTGCAAGGCAGGAATTAGCATTTGATAAAAAAATTAGCTTAAATTCATCAATAGTCTAATGAAACTTTGTGTATTTCATTCTAAGTTGAAATCAGGATATTTCCTTCATGGACTCAAATAACATACAAATATGTTGGTATGATGCATAAAGCCATTTTGTATGCATGGCAAGCAGTCATTGTTCAAATTGCAACTTCATATAAGCCTACTCAAATGGAAGGTAGAAAATTTGACTGCGAAACAACCACTGGAATTTATTTTGAAATGGCTGAACCTCTTCACTGACAACAGATAGAGCATATTGTATTCACTACTTACTTGTAGAACACATATTATGTTTCTAAATGAAACCATCTTAAGTTTTTTTTTATCTCAAATATTGAATGAGATAGGTCGTGATATTCAAGTGCCACAATCTTGACCATAGCACTCAAAATTATTTTGAAATGACTGTACTTCTTATTTACTGACAATAGATACAGCATATCCTATTTCACATTTACTTGTAGAAAGCATTTTTTTTGGAATGGAAACACCTGAAATTTTACACCTCAAATATTGAATTATATAAAAGGTGTTATTTGTAAATGGTACAATCTAGAATGTACCACTGGAAATTATTTTGAAATGGCTGTACTTCTTCACTGACAACAGGTAGAGCATATTGTACTCAACACTTTCATGTAGAAAACATGTTTCTTTTTTTTAAACCATCTGAAGTTTTCTATCTCAAATATTGAATGATGAGATAGGTTGTGATTTGCAAGTGCCACAATCTTTACCATAGCTCTCAAAATTATTTTGAAATGGCTTTACTTCTCTACTGGCAATAATATCTACAAAATGATGTATTTCATATTTACTGGCAGAAAAATTTTTTATCTTTCAAGTGGAAACACATGGAAACGGATATCCCAATTTTTGAATGAAATACATCAACTAGCCAAGTGATATGGTCTAGACTCTACTGCTATGAAACTTGATGCACTAATTCAAGACAAACAATACAGGCAATACTGCTCAAGAATTCATCAAACTACTTCTGCTTGGCTACCAATATTTGGCACCAAATTCTGATTAGATTATACTTCAACTTTTTCTACTGCCATTCATTGGGGGGCTGCCCTTGTCCTGAAGCAGAGATGGCTGCACCCCCTTCACATGTTTGTTCACACATGCTCTGCACATGTTGTTTTTCTCAGTTTTGGAAGAATTTGTCACAAGGACAGGAATGTTTCTGATTTTCTTCTTCCTCAATTTCAAAACAACCACAGGACATCATCCATCATTTCACAAAAAAACATTATAGCAGTTATGTAACTCAAGCTTAAAATTTCACCATGAAATATTACAGAAGGAGTAAATGCCTTCCAATAAATTGTCAAAATGCCCATTTTCAGAAGTCCCAAATAATGTGTACAAAACAGCAAGTAACAATTGGTATATTCTGATTTTGGAGCAGACCAGTCTTCTCTGGTTCTAAAAAGGCTGTACCTCTTTAGTGCCAACATATACAGCATATTTTATTCCTTATTTACTAGTAGAAAACTTTCTTTAATTGGAACCACCTGAAATTTTATACCTCGAATATTGAATTATCATCTGAAGTGGTTTGTAAGTGGTGCAATCTAGAATGTACCACTGGAAATCATTTGGAAATGGCTGTACTTCTTCACTGAAAACAGACAGAGCATGTTGTATTCAACACTTTTTTGTAGAAAACATGTTTATTTTTTAAACAAAACCATCTGAACTTTTCTATCTCAAATACTGAATGATGAGATAGGTTGTGATTTGTAAGTTCCACAATCTTCACCATAGCACTCATAATTATATTGAAATGGCTGTACTTATTTACTGACAATAATAGCTACAACATGATGTATTTCCCATTCACTGTTAGAAAGCATTGTTATCTTCCAAGTGAAAACACTTAGAAATTTGTATCCTAATTTTTGAATGAAATACATCACCTAGCCAGGTTATATGGTCTACACTATACTGCTATTATATTTGATGTACTAATTCAAGACATACAATGCAGACAATACTGCTCAAACATTTTGCAAACTACTTCTGCTTGGTTACCAACATTTGGCACCAAATTCTGCAGAGATTCTACTGAAGTTTTTTTTTTTACTGCCTTTCACATGGGGGCTGCCCTTGTCCTGAAGCAGAGATGGCTGCACTCCCCTCACTAGTTTGTGCACACATGCGCTGCACATGTTGTTCTTCTCAGTTTTGGAAGAATTTTTCACAAGGACAAGAATGGTTCTTATTTTCTTCTTACTCAATTTCAAAACAACCACCGCCCAGCACAGAATGGGGGCATTGGGCAGGCAAATGTTTTGACAGTGGGATTGGCATCGCCATTGCAACG